TGTCGCATAGCCGTTAGTTGCCCGGCTACGCAAGAGGATGTATCATTGTCTTCCTTCCTTTGTTGAGAACTTTCCTACAGTGCGCCATACCAGATCACTGAGGACGCAAAGATTACTCTATAGAGCACCTACATCCATGGAGCTTGCAGTCTGCCAGGAGAGACCAGTGGGTAGACATATCATTGCAACATACTAAGATAAGCTCCATAATAGATGTATTTATAAGGTCCACTCATGACATAAAAAGGGGTGGGCAGAGTACGCCTGTAAAGGCAGTAAAGAGTGCAGCATGTTGTGTTGGAAAGTGCCTGTGATTTGGAATCAGACAAACTTAATTATGCCACTCAAATACTCGTTATGCCACTAATGGTTCTGTGATTCTAGCTAATTTACTATATTCTTGAGCCTCAGCTTTCTCATTTGTAAAATACAGCTAATAGAACGAACCTCTTGGTAGATACACATCTATTAACGTCTTATCTATGGCCATATGATTTTTTTCCCACAAATAGGAGCACATGCTTTATATTTCCCTTTACCTTTTCACCCAAAAATGTATGATGGAGAGTTATTAATTTCAGTATCTATAAAGCCGCCTCTACCATTCTTTTATATGGCCTGGAATATCACAGCACTAACTACAAAGTAAATGTTCAATGAATACTTGTCTGAAAATGAATCACTGAGCTGTTCACAAATATTTAGACACTTAAAATAATGCATGGCCTTAATTCCATTATATGAATATACCATAATTTACTTAACCATATTTAGGTTGTTCCCTTGTTATTTACAAACAATTTGTAATGAATAATTATTTTTAATATTTATAAGTTGACCTATAGGATAATTCCTAGAAGTGGAATTTCTTATCAATTTAAATTTTGTTCCATAGAGACTGTGACAACGTACACTCATGTATTCAATATATGAGAATAACAAGAATCTTATTTTTCTAGAAAGAATGGCTAATGTTCGAAGCCAAAAACAAATGGTTTTAAGAGACATCCAGTTTCTAAGTTCAGAGAATCAACAGGATTTGAGCCAGAACCTCCCAAAAGGATCTGTTGAGAAGAGCCAGGTCACCAAAAGGAGCACTGTCTGTGCCCCAGCCAGTTGATAACAAGAAGATTGGAAGGTAGAAGGTGGTCACTTTGGGTTAGTTAAGGGGCTATTATTTCCTCTCTTCTCTGCTCCATGGGGGAGGGAGGAAGAGTGAAGGGAATGTTTCCTTTTCCTGCAGGGAAAGGAGAAAAACTCTAAGAGAAATAGTTTTAAACTATGGAAGTACTAGCAAGATGGGCATTTCATTACTGGATTGGTTGCCTACTTAGCAGACAGTATGATCTGAGCAAGGCCAAGAGGGGGACAGCCAGATGGAGAGTATGCCAGGACCAGCTCCTTTAATTCATGGTTCCTGAGAAGTATGAAAGATGGTTCACTGACTGGCCTCTGATGTACCAGAGTTGGGGGCAAGAGAGGGTAGATGTGATTGTGGGCTACAGTCTTGTCATCAGGGATTGTCATGGCTGGGCACGTGCCCAGAGGAATGTGGCACATAGTGGTACCAGAT